CATTCAGCTGAATTTCCTGGACTTCTATTCCCAGTGGTTGTGAGTAGCAGAGTGAGCAAATTTTATCACCATTAAATCAGATTTAGTGGCTACAGTAATGTCAGGGTCAGAGGAGTCTGTCCGGAGGGAAGGAGTTTGTCCCTAGGCCTGGTTCTGAGACACAATTCATGAGCTGTTGACGTGCCCTGCCTGGCCCTCCATGTAAGCCCTGTGTGAGAAAGGGACCCTCCTGCTTTGTTCTGCTTCTTTTTCTTCTCTCACCACCTCATCTTCCAAAAGTGGCTTGCTGAAGAAAATACTGAACTGCAGAGAAGCAAGCTGAGTGCCCTTTCAGGTTCTGCAGCACCTAGGCTTGCAGGAGAGCAGGGGCTCTGAAGGACTTTGTGTTTGTCACAGGCCTTATGTACACAATACCGACATGATCACCTGGGTTCATTTCCCTTATTGGCAGAAGAAACTGAAGAGGAAGGTAGCTGTGGGTGCTTTATCAGTGGGAGTGGTCCCTCTCATTTGCTGCCAAAGGGGTAGGACATTTTCCTGCCTGTGTGATGCTGATGTGACGGCCAGCCTTGCCCTCTCTCCGTGCAGGGAGATGGAAGGCGTCTGCAGAGTGGACAGGCGCTCATGGTGAGAGCACAGGCCTGAGGAGTCCTGCGCCTGCCAGAGTTCTTGTCATTTCTCACTTATCTGCTGTTCCCATTCATTCAACAAATATTTATCAAGCCTTCTATGAACTAGGCTCAGTTGTAGGCCCTAGGAAGAAGGCAATAACCCCCAAATCCCTGCCCAAGTAGAGCTTGTACTTAGTGGGGTAGATGGACAATGAAGGTGGTAAGTATTTATTTAATGAACACTAAGAGCCAGAATAATTGTAGGAAGTGAACGAATCATGCATTCCCAATTTGTTTATTTCTTAAATACAACACACACACACACACACACACACACACACGGCTTATCTTACTTCCCTGGGCTGTCACTGGGAAATGGCTAGAAGGTAAAAATACTTTCCAACAATAACCATGAAAAAATAGCTTTAATTAGAATATAGATAAATAAATAAATACCAGTGTATTTATTCTTGTCTTTCTTCTGAACTCTATTTCCAGCTGTGTCCTATTTTGGACTGAGCTGGGCCAGGGGCCTTTTTACTGGCTGAGACATTGGCAAGTGTCATGTTGGTTACAAATACTTGAGGTCAGATTATGTCTTTAGCATTGGATAAACATTATTCCCTGCTGATGCCTAATAGTTGGCTATAGAAAGTCTTCTCCCTTCCCCCAAGGCCAGGCAGCATTTTACTGGTATTAAGCATCACTGACACCATGCCAAATTTATGTATTTGTGCACATTATTTGTATATGTTCATATTGAAGGTCTGGCCCTGAAGAGTCTACATTGCAGACAAACTTAGATATCTTGCTCAGTACTGGAATAACAAATGTTACTTTTCTCTTTGCACTTGAAAACATAACTCTAACTCACCTCAGTGAGATCTTTTCTCAGAAAGCTGCAAGCTGCCATCCCTTGGGAAGACCCTGTCCGGCACAAGGAAGCCAGTATTTCCTGCAGTGACAGCCCAAAGCACCAGCCTCCGAGTGGCAGCATTATCTTTTTGATACAGAAATAGTAGCATTTCAGTTTGTGGGAGTCTTTGAGAAGTGACAAATATCCAAGAACATGCTTTTGAGCAGTTTCTGAATATGTGGAGTGATAGGATCACTCGAATATGTTTATTTTTCAATGATTTGAAGACCTAGGTTTGCTGACCGTATTTTCCAATGGCAAAAGTGTGGAGGAAATCAACATGTTCTTAATTTACATTATTAAATGTAGAGTTGAGGTCAAGGGTCTCGGTACCCACATTCTGCTCTAGACAGAAACCATGAGAACGTGGGGGTCCATTTGGTAACCTGGAGGTATATCTATAGAGAGTAAGTGGGGTCATGGATGGCTGGACGACAGAACTGGGAGAAGAAAGGCTTCCTGGGGTATGGGAGGGTATTGAGAAATTTGAAGAGCTATCATTGAATGACATTTATTCAGCTTTAAAGAGCTGAGCTAGGACCAATGTGTGGAATTTGTATAGCTGCAGAACTTGGTCCAATTTTAGGATGACTGTTTCTCTACTAAAATGACAAAGCAAGAGAGAACCCTGTGAGGTGTGACTTCCAGCAGTATGATACTTAAGCAGAGGCTGGACCACTGTGGGCAAGAATGTGGCAACAAGATTTCTGGACCCCAAGGGAGACTGTACCATCTGACCTTCAAGGAGCCCTTTGATTTTGAGGTTTATGGCCTTGGTAGAGTGGATAAGAAGAGGAATGTGCTTGGAGATTTACCCAGATCAAATTCTTTATCAGAAACCGCTCCTCTGGATGTAGCAGCAGGAATCTGTGACCCACTGGACGCAGCTCCAGATGCAGCCCATGTTGATGCCTCTGGATCCTCCAGGGAACCCACGGGCTGCCTCAGCTTGGTCTCCAGACCCTCCTCCAGGGCCGTAGTTCAACTGTCCTGCAATAGGGGGGTGACTCCGGCCACTGCTCCCTTGCTCCTTCTCACCACAGCCAACCTGTCCAGAAAGTTCTACCTGCTGCCCTCAGAGACTGTAGCACCAAGCTGAGGTGATAAATGCCCTTCACACTCTCATGCATGTGCCTTCATCTTTCTAGTCAGAGCTGTGATCCCCACATCTCATCCCCACAGTGTCTGGATGGAATTTTTAACATCTTAGGAATTCACCCATTATGCGATTTTAGAAATGATTTTTAGAATTTAGATTTTTAGAATTTTAGAAAATGGGGCGCCTGGGTGGCTCAGTTGGTTAAGCGACTGCCTTCGGCTCAGGTCATGATCCTGGAGTCCCTGGATCGAGTCCCGCATCGGGCTCCCCGCTCGGCGGGGAGTCTGCTTCTCCCTCTGACCCTCCCCCCTCTCATGTGTTCTCTCTCATTCTCTCTCAAATAAATAAATAAAATCTTTAAAAAAAAAAAGAATTTTAGAAAATGATGACAAAGAGATCTGATGGGAAAGATAATACCTTCTGAATGTTTGGCAGGGTCCTGGATGGGTGATGCTTCTCACTAACATTTGCGACAGGTACACAAGGTGCATGGCACCTGCTGTTTCTCAGATGATCACATGGCAGTTGAGAAAGGTAAGCTGCCATGTTTAATGCAGCTACTATAGAAAACTAACCCAGGCTGCTCTGTCTAGACAGTTCACATTTGTTTCTTGACTTCTAACTGCTGCCTTTGGTCTACAGATTTTCATCACCATTGATGTATAACACACATTCAAGCCTGCACATCCCTGAGCACTGCCCAGGGGCTTAAATCCTTAGCTATAAAAATGGTGCCTCCACTGGACTTGAGTTTACTCTCCTGCATGGCTGATCATAGCTGCCTCTTCAATAGTCACAGGCTGTTCCAGCCTCCTTCCCTGGATTAGTATGGATGTTTACAGGTTCTGGATTCTGGGGAGTTTGGTGTTGGGGACTGTTGGGAAGTGCTCTTTCTTTCATCATAAACTTAGGCAAGGTACGGGTGGGGCACCACTGAATGATGTCTTTGTCCTCCTGAAAGCTTTAAGGAGGAGATGAAATCTTGCAGAAGAGGCATGCCAGAGCCAGCCTGGGCATGAGTCACTGGTCGCGAGGCGAAGGAATTATGATCTGGTTCTCATCAGGTCTTCTTGCTGGATGGCTTTGGGAAGAAACAAAGGCCCCCTTGAAGTCTCTGCCTGAAATGGGGAGTGTTCATTTTCATTCCCCTGGTGTTTCTAGGCGGCCTCTTGCTGAGCTTGTCCTTTCTTCAGAGCCCTTTCCTTGACGACCCTTTGAACAGAGGAGAAGTAGGCACACACGCTTGTAAGGGGTTCTTGCAGAGCTAGGAGGTCTGGTCTCTGGCTGGCAGGGCCTGCAGAAGTCGGCGCTGCCCCACTCAGACCTGCTGGAGCGATGCAGAGCGCAGGTGTGGTTTGGTTGGTTGGCTGCCCTTTATTCTGTCTTTCCCTGTTAGTTCTGTGATTAAATAACAAATTAAAATCAAGTCATAGCAAAAATGGTAAAATGATTGGCTATTTGCATAGCCCAGGGTCAGCTGGACCAGCTGCTGGAACAACACGGAATGGAACGTCAAGTTCCCCAGGTTGCTTTTCTCTACTTCCTGCTCCACTCCAGACAAGTGGGCGCCTGCAGGGAGTACTCTGGAGTTTCCGGAGTTGATGGTCATTGACTCTGACTGGGCTGGATTGGGTCACGTGCCAATCCTTAAACCAGTCCGCTTCTCCAGGGAGATGCTGCATTCTGATTGGCAGGCGGAACCTCGTGGTTAGTCCTGGAGGGGAAATAGAGTCACGTGGACAGGAGAGGTGGGAGGGGGTGGGGGTCTGGCTGCCCCTGGGTCTTCAATGCGTCACGTGCATTCAGTGCCTTGCACACAGAAGAACGGGGTGCTCTCAGTGCCTGCCCTCCCTGTCTCGGGGCTGCAGGGTGGAGGGTCGTCCTGCGGCCAGCCTTCCCTCCCACTTACTGTGGCTACACAGAGTTGGGAATCTGCTGCATGAGCCGGGGTCTCTGGGCTAGAGCCTTGCTTGGTGTCACTGGGCTGTGTTGATTCAGAAAACTGAGGCCTTACTTTACCCAATAAGGTCTTAGGAGATCACCTTTGAGGACGGACATTTCCAGAAGTCTCAGGGATATGATGATTTAGGCTTTGGACACCTGTGCTGTCTGAGAAGCCCTGCTGTAAATGGACACAAGGACAGCCATTTTACTACAGTTACGTGGCCATGAATCTCTGTCAGTACCAGCCTACTATGAAAACATTGTTTTCTGGAAAAGAATTTGCACGGCAACAAGCACTTGAGTACCTACTATCTCTTCTGGTCCCTGGCTGGGTATACAGTACTTGCTGTTTGCAGAATTATGCCACCCCAAAAACTCTGTGTTTTGGCCCTCCCCCATCTCTGATGGCCTTCTCTTCCTTGTACTTTAGGGAACTGCTGGAGACCACGTGCCGCCTGGCCAACACGCTGAAGAGACATGGGATCCGACGAGGGGACCGGGTGGCCATCTACATGCCTGTTTCCCCACTGGCTGTGGCTGCAATGCTGGCCTGTGCCAGGATTGGAGCCGTCCACACCGTTGTCTTTGCTGGCTTCAGTGCGGAGTCCTTGGCTGGGAGGATCAATGATGGTGAGCATATGGGAGGGAGGGAGAAACCTGGAGGCCCCTGGCCTTTGTTCCTTGGGGCCTGGCCATCAGGGACTTGGAATGGAGACGGACATTAATAAAAATCACAGAGACAAATGACAGATACCACCAGGGACAAGGACATGACTGAACGAGCATTTGTCCTGTGAGCTGAGATCTGATGGCATTGGATTAACCAGGTGAAGAAGGAAAGAAATATTCCAGGTGGAGGGAACAGCGTGGGTCCCAGCTGCTTGGTGGGAGGAGCCCAGCACGTGTGAGGGCTTGGAGGGGGCTGGCATGGCTGTGGTGGAGGAAAGAAACCTGTAGGGTGAGATGAGGCTGGGGATGTATAGGGAATGTCTCACAGGTCAACAGCTAGAAGCCTTCCAACATGAGGAAGGTGTGGGGGCTTATGGTGCATCTTTAAGGATTTCTGTCTGCAGATAGGTCAGAGTCTCCTGAACAGTGTCCAGAACAATATTGACTCCCTCCTTTTTCTGGTGTGGGAGGGCTGAGTGTCTAGATAATGACCCCATGTCTTCGAGGTCTGACACGTACTCAGTGAGATCCTAGAGAGTCCCCTGAGCTGGCTCACCAAGAAAGATGCTTATGGGGGCCACTGGGAGTTCTTTGTGTCTCACCAAAGACTTGCCTTTGTGTAGTGAACAGAGCTAAAGAGCAGAGTTCTCAGACCCTGGCTGACCACCTTCTTTAGGAAGGGCTGAGAAGCCTTCCCACTCCCTTTGTATGTCTCTCTCTCCACTTTCAAGGGTTGGTGCTGTCACTCATTTCTCCTTCTCTCTCTAAACCATGTAGCACCTACTATGTGCCAGGCACTGTTCTAAGCACTTTGCAAAAGTCGTCTCCTTTAATTTAATAAGCTAGTCTTCATAAATATGATAGGTGATAATACTCTCACTATTTCTCCCTTCCCCCATTTTTTATTACTATTATGACCATCTTAAAGTGTACAGTTCAGTGGCATTAAGCACATTCACAATGTTGTGCAACCATCATCACTGTCTATTCCAGACCTTTGTCATCACCCAAATGGACATCTCATACCCATTCAGCAGGCGCTCCCTATTGCCCGCTCCACCCAGCGTCTGGCAACCACTAATCTGCTTTCTGTGTCAATGATTTGCCTCTTCTGGATATTTCATAAAAATGAATCCATAAGATATGTGGCCTTTTGTACATGACTTCTTTGACCACTTCACAGTGTTTTCAAGGTTCATCCATGTTGTAGCATGTATCATTGCTTCATTTCATTTTCTATAAATAAAAATTTCACTGTGCGGGTATACCATGTTTTGTCTGTCTGTTGATGGACATTTGACTTGTTAACGCTTCTTGGCTCTTTTGAATAGCGTTGCTCTGAATGTTCACGAGAACACCTGCTTTCAATTTCTCGTGCATATACCTCGGCATGGCATTGCCGGCACATGTGGTAAATCTATATTGAACTTAGTGAGGAACTGCAGGCTGTTTTCCAAAGTTGCCGCTCTGTTTTACATTCCCGCCAGCAATGTTTGAGGGTCCCAGTTTCTCTGAATCCTCATCAATACTTGTTATTTCACTTAAAAAAAATGATAGCCATCCTAGTGGGTATGAAGTGGTATTTCATTGTGGGTTTGATTTGCCCTTCTAATGACTAACATCACTGAGCATCTTTTCGTGTGCTTCTCTGTGTGTGTGTCTTCTTTGGAGAAATGTCTGTATAAGCCCTTTGTCCATTTTTTAATTGGTTGTTGGTCTTTTTGTTGGTGGAGTTGTAAGAGTTATCTCTATGTTCTGGAGGCTGGACCTTTATTAGATTTATCATTTGCAGTTATTTTCTCCCATTCTGTGGAGTGTCTTTTCACTCTCTCAATAGTGTCCTTTGATGCACAAAAGTTTTTAATCGTGATGAAGTCTGGGTCATCCATTTTGTCTTCTGTTGCTTGTGGTTTTGGTGTAGTATTTAAGAATCCATTGCCAACTCCAGTGTCATGAAGATTTGCCTCTATGTTTTCTTCTAAGAGTTTTATAGTCTTTGCTTTTACGTTTAGGTCTTTGATCCATTTTGAGTTAATTTTTGTATATGGTGTGAGGTTCAACTTCATTCTTTTGCTGGGGTTATCCAGTGCTTACCAGCACCATTTGTTGAAGAGACTTTTTTTTCCCCCTCATTGAAGGGCCTTGGCACTTTGTCGAAACTAATTTGCCATCTATGTGAGGGCTTATTTCTGAGTTCTGTATTCTGTTCCAATGATCTGTATATCTGTCTTTGATTTTCATGTGTCAAACCACTCCTGCATTCCAGGAATAAATCCCACTTGGTCATGATTTGCAATCCTGTTAATATGCTGCTGGATATAGTTTGTTAGCATTTTGTTGAGGATTTTTGCATCAGTATTCATAAAGGGTATTGGTCTGCAGTTTTGTTATTTTTCCTGTGATGTGTTTGTCTGGCTTTGGTATCAGGGTAATGCTGGCCACATATAATTAGTTAGAAAGTGTTTCCTCCTCTATAGTATTTGGGCAAAGTTTGAGGAAGATTGATATTAATTTGTCTTTGAATGTTTGGTAGAATTCACCAGTGATACCATCTTGTCCTGGGCTTTTCTTTGTTGGGAGGCTACTGTTTTTGAAAATGAGGAAAGATGAGGAAACTGAGGCACAGAGAGGTTAAATGACTTGCCTAAGGTCACATTGCTGGTTAGTGACAGAGCCAGGATTTGAACCCAGACATTCTGCCACCAGAGTTCATGTTTTTAACATTATACTCGGCTGGGGTGCCTGGGTGGCTCAGTCGGCTAAGTGTCTGCCTTCGGCTCAGGTCATGATCTCAGGGTCCTGGGATCAAGCCCTGCGTCAGGCTCCCTGCTCAGCGGGGGGCCTGCTTCTCCCTCTCCTCCCTGCTCCTGCTCTCACTTGCTAGCTCTCACTATCTCTGTCTCTCTCCTTCAAATAAATAAATAAAATCTTAAAAAAAACCCAAAAAAACATTACACTAGGTTGCTCCTTTCCTCTCTTGATGATATGGTCATGGTTGCCAAGTTTCTGTTTCTGTTAACGTTCTTTAAAATAAGCAAAAGCCCTGGAGATTTAGTAGGTGGGTGCTGGAGTAGGTCCCAGAACTTCAGGAATCCTAAACAACAAGGCTACAGAAGGGCAGGGTCCAGGTCAGCTCTGAGGCCCTCAGCAGAGGAAACTGCTATAATTTTCTCTAAAACTTTGCTATTAAGAGGTTCTTACCCAACACCTATAACCTCCATGTCCAGCTATTCAGGTGTCAGTTTCCACGGGCAAGACTCTGTTGGGACGGGTGTTTGCATCCTCTTTGGTCAATGAGGGGGGTGTTTTGGTTATTTATTGCTTTATAACAAACTGCTCAGAAACTTAGTGCTTAAAAAATAAATTTTATTATTATATTTCATGATTCTGTGGGGGCAGGGATCAGATGGGCTTAGTGGGTTATCTTAGTGGGCTGTCATGGGCTTATCTACTCCATGATATCTGGGATACAAGCTGGGTTCACTTGCATGGTTGGGGGCTGTGAAGCATCTCTTTCATGTGGCCTGTTTGCATAACCAGCTCGGGCAACCTCAGGCAGTCAGACTTGTTACGTGGTGGCTCATGGTTCCAAGAAGATGGAAGTAGAAAGTGCCAGTTTGCCCTAAAGGCCAGGTCAAGAATACACATAGCATCGTTTTTACCGTACTCCATTCGTCCAGCCAGTCTGGCCATTCCGAATTCAAGGTGGAGGGGGGACACCAAGACCCTATTTCTCCTTAAGAAGTAGTATGAGACCAGGTGAAAGAATTTGCAACTCTCTTTAATCCATCACTGGGAGGGAGAGGGTGAGATTGTGAGCATGGCCACCAGGGTCTCATCATGAGCTAGGCGGCCACCTCAGTCGATATGTTCTATTCTAGAATTTCTGTCCCCTGGCCTGGCCTCCAGGCTCTGACCACTGCTCTTCCTTTTACCTTCCCTCTTGCTTTAGGCTGTGTGAGGAGTGGAGGGAGAGGGTAGTATGGTGCGGAGGGTGGAGAGCAGGAGAATGATTCTGAGAGACTGTGGGTGGGGGGCAAATAATGGCCCCCACAGATGTCCACACCCTAATCCCCAAAACCTGGTAATATGTTACTTTACACATCAAAAGGGCTTGGCAAATGGGATGAGCATTACAATGGGGAGATTATCCAGGTGGGCCCAATGTAATCACATAAGCCCTGGAAAGCAGAGAACTTTCTCTGGCTGGAGGCAGAGGATATGTGCAGAATGGGAGGTCAGAGTATGAGAAGGACTTGATCTGTGTTGGCTGGCTTTGATGATAAAGGAGGTCACAAGCCAGGGGACGTTGTAGGTGGCTCGAAAGGCTGAGAACGACCCTTGGCTGACAGCAAGGGAAATGGGGAAATGGGGTCCTCAGTCCTGAAGTTATATGGAGCTGAGTTCTGCCAACACCGTGAATAGCCCAGAAGCAGACTCTCCTCCAGATCCTCCAGATAAGAGCTCTGCTCCCTCCTACCTTGATTTTGGGCATGAGACTTCAAGAAAAGAACCCTACCATGCTCACCTGGACTAGAGAACTGTGAGCTAAAATATGGGTTTTCTGAACCACTACGTTTGTGGTAATTGGCTATGGGAACAATAAAAAATGAAGACAGATGCTAATACCTGCTCAAAAACCAGGGAGGTAAAATCACAGCTTCCCAGTAAAGTGTCATGCTGATCTGGCCTGTGCCCCAGTGTTGTGCACATACTCTGTACCCGTCCACCCAGCTATGGGGCGAGCCACAGAGTGAGACATGCTCTCCAAGCACCTCCTAGGGACTGGGCATGTGCATGCAGGTTCCTGCCCTAGAGAACTGCTTGGGTGGGAAGACTCGGACAAATGAGAGCCAGGAGCAAGGCATGTGCCATGGGAGGTTGTGGACGGCTATAATCCACATAAAGGAGTTCGAACACCGGGTATGGACTGGGGCCACTGCTTTCCCCCAGGGGCGGGGGTGGTGTCCTGAGCTTTCTTTGTCTCTCATCCCCTTGAAGCCAGGCTCTTTCTACCTGCTGGATCATCTCCCTTCCTGCCCCACAGGGAGTTTACCTGGACCAATCCCAGCACCTGGGATGTAGGCCAGGGTGGTCTCTGACAGACTCCACTCAACTGATTTCGTTTCCCCAGGGTGACTGATGGCCAGGGCTGAGGAACAAAGAGTGGGCAGCTGGGGTCCCCTGGTGTGCAGAGTTGGATGACACTGCCCTGGGTGCCTCAAGCCCTTTAGAGTACCTCTCTGACCCTAGGGTGACCCAGCCAAGGGCTGAGAGAATTCTTAGATGGCTCTCAAGGTCATGCCATCTCTAGGGCCCTTGGGATGAAGAAAGAATGAGTGTGTTGCTAGAAGGCACTTTTTAGACTGCAAAGCTGAAGGAGATGGGTGCCTCTGTCAGGGCTCCCACAGAAGTAGACCCTGAGATGAAAGTTCAGGGGTAGCCAGTTCATTTGGGAGGTGATCCTGGGAACTGCTGTAGGGTGCTGGGGAATGGGGCTGGGAAGAGGAATCCACTAGACCAGCTTCCACAGCGGATGCCTGGAACTCAGTCCCATATGGGGATTGGCCTCTGGATGGTGAGGGAGTTGGGGTATTTATACTCCAACCCTTGAGTCATTGGTGGAGGGCTGCTAGGGTTGGGGCAATCCCTTAGTGCTTCTGCCTGTGGCTTTGGAAGAAGTCCTTGGTGTAGAGTGATAAAAGGTCTGAAGATGTGTGGGATCCTGCCGGTCAGTACTACAACTGGGTATTTGTTCTGGGCTCTTCCTTAGGGGCCAGTTAAGAGAATAGCCCACTGCAGCCTTGATTCCTCTGGGTCATCCCAGGTTGGGGCACGATGTGGGGGCTCATTCCTTTGCCTATGGTTCTGAGGCCCAGTTTGTGTCTGTATCCAGTTCCCTGCTCAGGGCCTCACTCTCAGTCTGCTGTGGAAGCTTGGGTCTTCCCAGCATTGCCCTGGGCTTGGTTGAGCCTAGCCAGGTTGTTGAGGAGCAGGTGTGGAGCCTGGAGGGCCATCTGCTAAAGACAAGGGTGGGGGCCTGTAGCTTCTGGCACCCACTGGGGGTGTGTCCTTTGTTTTCGGGGCAGTGAAGCTTCTTGAGCCTGGACAGGGCAGGGGCCACACAGGACATGTTGGGGCTTGATCTCTGGCTGCCCAGCTTTCTTGGTCTCTGCATTTTGGTGTTGCTTTGCCACCACGGTGGCTGTGGCTGAGGACGGTGTGACGGCCTCTCACCTGGGAAAGCTCCCAGGGCAGGTGGCAGGGACTGGTGGAAGTCTCCCCTTCAGGGCTGAGAAAAGGTCTGACACTTCTGCACTGAGCACAAAGATTGCAAAGCAGGCAGAGCCCCCACATTTTGTGGACTCTTTTGCTAAGAACAGACTTTGTCAATCACATGTTCAGGCCTGGACTGTGTGGCTGTCAGCCTGGGCTGTGAGGGTCAGTGTGGGAAGGAAACTGACCAGAAATCTCTGTTTGTCTCCATTAGCCAAGTGCAAGGTTGTCATCACCTTCAACCAAGGACTCCGGGGAGGGCGCGTGGTGGAGCTGAAGAAGATCGTGGATGAAGCCGTGAAGCACTGTCCGACCATCCAGCATGTCCTGGTGGCTCACAGGACGGACAACAAGGTCCACATGGGGCATCGGGACATCCCCCTTGAGCAGGTGCGTTTGCCTCACTTTGTACAGTTGGAGAAAGAGGGGTAATTATTGGGTTAACTGGGACTGAGTCTTATCAGACTGTGGTTCTCAACCTGGGTCCCCTGGAGGTGCTCACAGTTCCCCTGTGGTATCTGATGGACTTATATTGTGGTTGGGAAGATGGAACTCAAATACCATAAACATACTGAAACACTTAGTGTAACAGAAATGATTTTTTTTTTTGTTCTCTCTGCATCTGGAGTGGAACTAGGGTAGGGTAGAGAAGGCAAACTGGACCCAGTCTGCTAAGTCCTGTAGCCGTTGGGTGAGAGGTGTTCTCAGGAAGGGTGAATGGAGGCAGAGGGTAATTGCCCCGGATGGGGCTGTTTATGTCTTCCCCCTTACAGGAAATGGCCAAGGAAGACCCTGTGTGCGCCCCAGAGAGCATGGGCAGCGAGGACATGCTCTTCTTGCTGTACACTTCGGGGAGCACTGGGACCCCCAAGGGACTCGTCCACACCCAGGCGGGCTACCTGCTATATGCCGCCCTGACACACAGGGTATGTGCCTCGGTGGGGGCGGCTGAGGGTGTGAGGTGCCATGCGTCCGTGGCTGGGCTCTGGGCAGGGGGCCTGCAGAGCCGGAGTAGGGCTAGAACTCCTGCTGTAACCTAGTGCCCGTATGCATGAGGGGCTAATGTTTCTCCTAGTGCGTTCAGGGGTGGGGTGCTGACTCCATGAGTGGGTGGGTGTGGGGGCCAAGTTTCTGTGTTCATCGGGAGAGTCCGGGTCTCTAATCTGAGGCTCACTGCTGGCCTTTAGCCCCTTTGCCCCTGCGTCCATGCCATCTGTTTGCTCTGGAGGAGTCAGGTTCTCCCCAGGTCCTACGTGCTCCCTGGCACAGCTGCGTTCTGATGCTCAGGTGCCCAGGTGCTTAGGCCTTACATATTAAAATATCTACTTCTACTTAATAGATCTTTTTTTTTTTCTTGGTGTTGAAAGAAAGTAAAACATTTTCAAATGCCCCTAAAGGTATTGTGGGCTCTGCTCACTGGGGCCACATTTTAAAAGTAAAATTAGAAAAAGATTTACTTTTCTTTCTTTTTTTTTTTTTAAAGATTTTATTTATTTGACAGAGAGAGACACAGCAAGAGAGGGAACACAAGCAGGGGGAGTGGGAGAGGGAGAAGCAGGCTTCCCGCAGAGCAGGGAGCCTGATGTGGGGCTTGATCCCAGGACCCTGGGATCATGACCCGAGCTGAAGGCAGATGCTTAACGACTGAGCCACCCACGTGCCCCAAAGATTTACTTTTCTAAGGAAACCTAAGTTCAGTATATGGAAATTGTATTACAGTGGACCACCCTTTAGGGCCTATGAAGCAGATGGTATGGCATGTTTTTATTTTAATAAATGCACTTAAAAATCAGGACTTATTTGAATGTGGGTGGGTTGGGGGGGTTGTGGTTTAATTGGCATCCCTGGTCACTTGAGGAATGGTTGACACTTCCCAGGTAGGATTTGGTTTCAAGATAGTGTTTATGGACCTGACTGTTGTAACAGGTGAAACTCTGCTCTCGCTGGTACCGGCAGCAAAGGGAAGTGGCTGGCCAGGTGACCAGCAAGCCCAGGCTCATCCAAGAAGGGCTTGGACATTGGTCCTGGGTGGTGGTGTCTTTCCTGCCTTGGCCCCCTTCCTCTGTGCTGACCACATTCCTCCCCAGGGGCTGGAGAGAACCTCCCAGTCCCCGCGAAGTCCAGAGCCGGCTTGGTCACACGGGTGGCGAATCTCATGACACGAGTGTGGCGAGCAGCAGGTGCTGGGAGGTGGGTAGCAGGCATGCACGCTGCACAGGATGCAGTCTCTGAGTGGTAATGTGCCGGTCCCACTGGCAGCCACACACCCAGGACTAACAATGTTGAAAGTGAGCCAGCAAGACGGATGTGGTACAGAACCAGGCTGAGCAGACAAGGTATTACTTGAGCCCAAATCCATATTAAAACAGTTGTCTGCTGCTTGCTGGGTGACCTTGAGCATGCCACAGAACCTTTCTTGACCTCAGTGTTCTCCTCTGGAAAACCCCACTCTTCCTCAGCTCTCGGTGGGGGTGTTGCAAAGATTGACACATCATGTAAATAAAAATACTTTGGAGAATATAACTACTAAGACCAAATACCAAGAACTTCACAGAGTGGCTCAAATTGTTTTCACCAGTTTACAATAAAACTAACATTAGGGAAGCTGTAAATGTGGTGAGAGATTCTTTTTTGTGTTTTCAGAGTGTTACCAGGACCCAGTCTACATGAGCAAAAGAAATCAGGGTATAGGTATCTTTTGAATTTTTCTTCAATAAGAGATTTTTTTTTTTTTTGAAGCATTAGGAATAGAAGCTTCCAGCCTTCTGTAGATGAAAGCATGCACCCATGTAGAGGACGTTAGGACCGTGGGCTCTTCAGGGAAAAGGACAGTTGGCTCAGAACGGATGACTGGGGTGTGAGCAGATTTTGGAGGTGTGCAGTGGGCTCAGGGTGCTGGCTGCCTCCTGGGCCCTTTGGAGCATGGCTGGACCCCCGCACTTGCTCCCGTTCCCAGAACTTCAGGGAGAGAAACCTGCAGCCGCATTGAAGCGTTGGCAGTTTGGGTCCAAAGTTGTACTAAAAATCCTTTCAGTCCCGGAATGCTGTGGGACCTCGGGTGTCAGCGTCCTGATTCTCCAGTGCAGCAAAAGTGCAGTCCTCCTTGAAAGAGTCCTCCCTCTCCATTGGGTCACAGCTTCACAGGGCCCTGGCTGTCTCCAGACCACTGTGCTATATGCGGACTCCTGAAGAGTCTCAGCGTTCATCTGGGGCAGCAAGAAACTGGGCCATTCACCCAAAGATTTAAAAGAAAATCTTATTGAAAAACAGAATACAGAGTAGGATCCAGAAAAGCACCCAAATCAAGTGTGTGGCTTGATGAATTATTAAAAGGCGAACCCCACTTGGGTCAGAGAAGTCCTTCCTGCCTGTCCGACCACAGCCCCTCCCTGTATCCTGACTTTGATAGTGTCACTGTCCCGTGTTTCCCCTCTTCTAGCTTTGTCCCACCCAGCATGCATCCCCTGATCCCGTAGCTTACTCTTGCCCACTGATGTTTCTTTGAGATGTCTTTTAAATCTGTTTTAACCTGTTGGTTCTCCTCTGTCCCTTCCATTTCCTTCCACTTCGTTGTGGCACTTGGCAGTTTTTCCCTCCGTCCTCTGTGTTTCCTGCAAAGGGACATTTGGATTCAGAGGCAGGTCAGGCTCAGGTTGGACCCTGTGGTGAGAATGCAGGAGACACATGTCCTGACCTATGTTTTTCTGCTGAGGCTTGCGGAAGCTGATGATGCGTGAGACGTTTCTTGGTCTTTTTGGCTTTCATTTCTGTGCAATTTTTAAGGGATCTAAAAAGATTGTGGTATGACTTAATGCAGAAGGGTGCCCTTATTTTAGACATACAACTAGATGAGGTTTGACCTCTGGGTGCGCATGTGGCCCCCACCTGCATCAGACGTGGGGTGTCTCCAGCTCCTGGGGGCCCTGACACACCCGCAGCAGAAAGCCCCCTAGCGGGCAGGCCCTTGCGCGAGCTCCAGCACACAGACCAGCTTTAGCTGGTTGGGGCGCATGCGGTACAAGCCTGGGGTCCGGCTTCTTGCACTGTCACCTGTGAGAGCCCGCACCTTGTGTGTAGCAGTAACTCTGTCTTGTCACTGCCATAGCTGCACAGAGCCCCGGCAGTGCTCTTGTTCTTCCTGCTCTTGGTGGCCTTAGGAGCAGCTGTGTTTTGCATTTACAGAACACTGTTAGTGACCTGTGGGAACGTGGGGTGACAGGCTCCTGACGGCCTCTTCTGTTTCTGCAGCTTGTGTTTGACTACCGGCCAGGTGACGTCTTTGGCTGTGTGGCCGACATCGGCTGGATCACAGGACACAGCTATGTGGTGTACGGACCCCTGTGCAATGGAGCAACCAGCGTCCTTTTTGAGAGCACCCCAGTTTACCCCGATGCTGGTGAGGACTGGGGACGCATACAGGGTCCCCAGGAGGGAGCTTGAGGAGGAGGGGAGGCTCACAGGAGGGTGGAGTAGAGGCCCTTGCTCTGGGCTGGCTGTGGTCCTTGTGGTCCTGTGGCGTAGCTGCCGAGCCTCTGCCTGCCAGGTGGGCTGGGGCCAGGGGCGGTGTCTGCAGTAGGATCAGATAAGCAATAGATTTGTCACTGGAAGCCATCTCAGGACAACCCACTCCAGTGTTCCTTTCCCCCTAGCAAACTGGGTGCCTTGGGCCATCCCCTCAGCACTGTCCCTCCCTCCTCTCTGGCCACCTGACCAGATCCAGCCCTTCCTCAACCACCCAGGCCAACTGCCAACCTCTTGTTACCCCAGACGGAGGGAACTTTCTCCAGCTCTGCGCCTGTGCCTTTGGGGCTCTCTATCAGAGAGCATTGCCTGTGGCCTGGAGCCACCTCCATGAATGGAGATCGCTTTGAGGACCCACATCTTGCTCACCTTGGCATCTTCCTCCAAGGCAGCACAAAACCCCAAGTATTTGTTGTAACGCAGCCGAATGGTGGTGGCTCTGCCAGGAGGCTCTTGCCAAACCTCCGGCGCTAACAGTGATGGGTGTGGAACTTCTTGTCACCTCCCCTGCTCCTCTCCAGCCTCCTGAAGGGCTAGATGCACTCTAGGAAGAAAGTGTAGGGCATCTTAGGTGTGATCTCAGGCACAGCCCATCAGCCCTCGAAGCTCCGCTCACTCCGTGTGTAGAGCCGTCGTGGCAGTTTGTGGGGGTTGTGGGGAACCAGGTGGGTGCGTGCTGGAAAATTGCCCTGCTCCCAAGGGCTCCCTCACTGGCAGCCGCACTGTCCCAGGGGAAGCACCAGTCACCCCCTTAGAGATCATTTAAGTGCGACTGAACAGAAGTTCTATGTTAGTGCGACATGGGGTATTTTTAAAATTCAGTGATATCCCTTTGATATCCTTGCTGTATCCTCTGGGATACACCACGTGAATGCAGCTGTCCAGAGCCAGGTGAAGGCTATTGCCAGATGCACCAGCCCTGGATGTGGGGTGTGCGGGGAGGTGATTGCCCCCTTCCCATCCCATCGATGGGTGTTGGGATTCCATTTCTGTGAACACAGGTGTTTGCATGTATCCAGTGCACAGTAACTGTTGACTGATTTCTAAATAAGTTAGATAATGTCTGATGGGCTCAGGCTGACACCGAACTTGGGCCCTTCTGTAGGTCGATACTGGGAGACGGTGCAGAGGTTAAAGATCAGTCAGTTCTATGGGGCCCCGACGGCTGTCCGGCTGCTGTTGAAATACGGTGACTCCTGGGTGAAGAAGTATGACCGTTCTTCCCTGAGGACCCTGGGGTCAGGTGAGTGGCCCGCCATGGGGCAGAGCCAGTGCAGGCTTCAGGATGGGTTTAATCCTGAAAGCTGTGTCTGTAGTGAATTCAAACAGTGCCAGGCTGAAAAGGAAGCAGATGTCCCTGCCCGTAAGCAGCTTCCTGGAGGCCCCGGCTGATCATGTTCTGGGGCACAACATTCCATATATTTCTGTGCCTGAGTTCTGTGCTTCATCTTTATTATGAAAACCTGGTAAAGTGGCTTGAGCCCTTCTTTAGTGGCTGCATGGGATTGCGGTGCGGGGGGAGTTGACCATGGTTCACGAAGGTGCCCCCCTCTGCTGGGTGCCGATGAGCCCCAAAGACTGTGATAAACACACTGTACTTGTGTGCTGTTCTTGCTGTAGATATTTCCAAGGCAGAGGGTTGCGAGATCAAAGATTATCTCCACTTATGATTTTGATAGATGTTGCCAAGTCATATGAAAGCACTTTGGAAAGGTGATGTGGGGTTAGTTCAGGTGATACGGGTCGGGTGGAAGGTACCCATGCCCTTTCTGTCTCCTTTTTCTGATTCATTTCATTTCTGCCCCTACACATGTCAGTGGGGAAAACAAGGGCGGGGAAGCCCTCTGTGCTCCTTGGGTGAATACTTGGATCTGCTTGGTGGTTTCTCACAGTGGAAGCATGTGGGGCAGGTACCACCAGGGATGTGGCTTGCTGCCAAATGCGTCCATGGGGAAGAGAGCTCAGACCATGGGGAAGAGAGCTCAGACGTGCATGTCACTCATCAGTGACGTACTTGTGCAGCACTGTTATGGGTCCTAGGCCCTGGTTCACTCTGTTCCCCTTGCCTGCGATGCCTTGCTCCCCCTCCCCACCTCTGAGGATTCCATCCTTCTTTAAGGCCCTTCTCTGTGCACCTTCTCCCGTAGAGTTCCCTGGCAGCTCTGGATCTCAGGCTCTCTGCTCTCAGACAGCTCTGTATTCTATTCTTGGATATCTGTTCTCATGCTGACTGTTTCACTGGGTGGTGGGCTCCCCAAAGTCACAGCCATCTGTGTCCTCAGCACCCTGGTGTGGTCAGTGAGGGTGAGTGAGGGTTGACTGCTCACTGTGAAGCTGAGTGGCAGGCCCAGGAGCAGAAGGCCCAGATGCTGTGCTGAGGGCTCAGTACCCGGATGCTAGCATCTCCAGGGCAGATGCTACCCAGCAGTGCTGCTTCCCACCTAGGACGACCTGTGTCCTTGCCTGGGAGACGTGTTCTTATGTGCCCAGCTCTTCCCTGCTCAGGACCTGCCTTATGTGTGGGGTCATTTGGTGTCTGGATGACCAAGTACTTTGAATTTTCCAGATGGGGTCAGCAGAAAGAGTTTTGGCTCCTTTCTAGGTGGTGGTAAGTCTGAGATGCCTCTCGGCATGTTTCAGCTGTGGAGGGTGAAGCCAGCATGTCCTGAAGGGAGCCACATGGTTGGAGAAGACCTGCCCTCCAGCCCAGGGGCCATGAGGCGCTCCTGCACTCTGGGCCAGGCAGGGCTTGGGGACCGAGGGCAAGTGGAGGGCCACAGAAGCTCAGATCCTCCAGGTGCCATCTGCAGGCCACCTAAGTGGGCTCAGGAGTTAGGTTAGTGGTGATGGGAGGTTTGATTTTCCAGATGCGTTCAAGGGATTCAGCTGCTAAGGAAGACTTACAGGGACCCCAGTGACAAGGCATATGCTCTGAGTGCTTTAGAAGGAGGTGCCAGCCACTGCATTAGAGTGGGGGAGCATGTCCTAACTCAGAGCTGCCTTAACCAGGCATCCCCTCGGCCAGACAGGCTTCTGGGGTCCTCACTCCATAAGTGACCAGACCCACTTCCTCTCCTGGACCAGGCTCTGCACCAGGGAGCACACACGGAGCCTTCTCCGGGCTCTGTGTATTTTACTGGTCTTGTGGGCACATTCCTGCCATGTAACCAGCACCGACAGCAGAGTCCTACAGGGGTTTCCCTGGGACCTGGTTGTCAATAAGCAGTGCCAGCAGGCAGGTAAACAGCACCAGGCATCTCCTCGCATGGGGGAAGCATGGACCGGTAAGCTGCGTGCTCGGCCAGGGCCCAGGTGGTGCTGTCCCCGACTGTGGTCCCGGCCGCTCGGGCTGCTTCCAGACGGCTGGATTAGCCCTCGCAGCACACCAGGCTGGGGGTGCATTGACTTGATTTAATCCTGCCAGTCAGCAGAATCCAGCTTCCTCAGGACTTTAACCCCAAGATTTCCATTACAGTTTTTTTTAACTTTTAATTTCACAAGTGACACCTAGCTCTCCTCCTGTTGGGGAAAAAAAACACAACATGGTCATGCAAGCTGACGTCCTCTGTGAGCACTGCTCCAGGTGACCCTGCTGCTTGTGTCCCTTCTGAGGCCGTCTGCATGGTTCCTGTGAGAGACGCAGCGTGATTCCAAGATGTCTGCTTTAATGTGACCATGATCACACTGTGCTATCCACCTAGTGTGTATTTTAACTCAGCAGCATGCAGGTTTCCATACGGCTCTGCTCTGTGTTTGAGAAGTTGATTTACCCTCGAGTGGGGGTTGCTGTGGGTGTGGTCCGGTAGTCTTGCCCCTGTGGTTGGAGATCCGGGCTGTGGGCAGTTTCTCAGTGTATCCCATGGTAGCTTACCTCCTCGTGGGTGTGGGTGAGCGCAGGGTCAGTGCACACAACAGCCAGCACCCATGTGACCAGCATGGGAGCCCCTGGCCAGGTCAGGCCTTGGTTTGTTGCTGCATCGTGGGTGGTCCTGAGCAAGAGGCAACCAGCATGAGGGTATTTCACTGTTTCAGCAGCAGTATGGCTAAGCTGGCCAATTCTGGCTGAGTGCTAGTCTTGTATGGCTGGTTCATTAGGGTAGTAGCTTAGCCATTGGGGCTGCACCACTGACTGGGTGGCTTATAAACAACACGAATTTATTTCTCACAGTTGTGGGGGCTGGGAAGTCCCAAGTTCAAGGTGCTAGCACGATTGTCTTCTGGTGAGGGCCCTCTTCCTGGGTTCATAGATGGTGCCTTTTCCCTGGGTCCTCACATGGTTGAAGGGAGGAGGGAGCTCTGTGGGGTCTGTTTAATAAGAGCACTAATCCCATTCCTGAGGGCTTCATGACCTCCCAAAGGCCTTACCTCCCAATACTATCATCTTTGGGGGTTAAGATTTCAACATACGAAATCTTGGGGGGGGGCACAAAATTGAAGTCATGGTAGGTAGACACTGAGAAGTTGGGCTGTTAGAGTCATAGGGCACAAGCACATTTGTGTGTGTCTGTGTGTGTGTACATATATATGCATGTATGTAGCAGTCGTTACATATACATACGGTTGGCCTTTGAACAACATGGGTCTGAACTGCATGGGCCCTACTTACACATGGATTTTTTTCAATAAATGCAGTACAGGACTGTAAATGTATTTTCTTTATGATTTTCTTATCTTTTTTTTTTTATAAATTTGTGGTCTTTTTTTTTTTAAGATTTTGTTTATTTGAGACAGAGAGAATGAGAGAGAGAGAGAGAGAGAGCCCAAGAGGGGGTAGGGTCAGAGGGAGAAGCAGACTCCCTGCTGAGTAGGGAGCCCGGTGTGGGACTCGATCCAGGGACTCCAGGATCATGACCTGAGCCGAAGGCAGTCGCTCAACCAACTGAGCCACCCAGGTGCCCTCTTATCTTTTTTTTAAAAAGATTTTATTTGTTTGACAGAGAGGGAGACAGCAAGAATGGGAACACAGGCAGGGGGAGTGGGAGACGGAGAAGCAGGCTTCCCGCTGAGCAGGGAGACCGATGTGGGGCTCGATCCCAGGACCCTGGGATCATGACTCTAGCCGAAGGCAGAAGCTGAACGGCTGAGCCACCCAGGTGCCCCAATATATTATCTTTAGCTTACTTTATTGTAAGAATACAGTATATAATATATACAACATACAAAATATGGGGTCATTGGCTGTTTATGTTATCGGTGAGGCTTCTGGTCAACAGCAGGCTGTTAGTAAAGTTTTAAGGAGTCGAAGCTATACTCAGATTTTTGATGGCATGGGACGCCCGCACCCCTAACCCCCGTGTTTTTCAACCACCAACTGTGTACATGTATCTAAAACCACCACCCAGATCAAGCCATAGAAATTTCCAGGCCCCAGAAGGTTCCCTTACGACCCCTCCGAGTCAGTAATCCCCAGCCCCAGCCACCGTACGACTGCTTTCAGCATGGATTGATACGCTTGTTGAACTTGCACCTGCAGGGCCAGCCCTGCCGAGTGTGGCGGCGGTTTGCTTTTGCTCTCATGCTGTGTATCACGTCGATGTACCACAGTTTATCTCTCCATCCCACTCTTGATGGCAGTTTTGGTTTTTAACTGCTGTGGTCATCCTCGTATGTGAGCACCTCTGCATTCTTATCTGTAGGTTATACGCCAGGAGTGATGTTCTTGATAATAAGAGAAACAGGTTTAGCTTTAGTAGATCCCACCACAGACGGTTTCCAGAGTAGTCCTATCAGGTGTATGCACACTAAATATTAAGAGACACATCCATTGCTCCCAGTTGCATATCAGATTACACTCCTGTAGTGTGTTGTTTCTCCCACATTCTTTAAGTTTTTATTTTTTTTTGAAGTGAAGTTGAAAGTTTATTAAGTGAAGGTGAGAACAGGAAGGAAAGAAAAAAGCTCTCTAGAGTGAGAGGGATCCCGAATGGGTTGCCACTGAGGTCTTTTATGGTCGGTGTTCTATAGAAAACTGACCAGGGAACTGAAATCTTGCCATCACTGCTGATAGCACCATGATTACCTCTCCTTTGAATATCTCATCTCTGATGTTTAAGACAAACGAGATGGTCTGGTTCTGTTCCCTTATTTCTGGTTTCCTTACGCCTCAGCATTTCTGGGATTTTTGGTGAGCCTGATCATGTAACCCTGTACCTATCTCTCCCTACCTGGCCCTGCCTGTCCCTTACTCATTTTTAGTGTTTACAGCACTCCTAAAAGAAACCCCGAACCCATTAGCAGTCAATCCCCATCTCCTCCAACTTCCCTCTACCCCTACTTCAGCTCTAAGGCAGCCGTGAATCTGCTTTCTGTCTGTATCGATTTGCTTATTCTGGACAGTTCATATACATGGAATTATATGTATGGGTGTTATACGCAACTAATGAATCGTTGAACATTACATCAAAAACTAATGATGTATTATATGTTGGCTAATTGAACATAATAAAAAAATAGAAAGCTACTGAGCAAAATTGGAAAAAAAAAAGTAAAAAAAAATTTTTTTTAAATGGGTTACCTGGTAGGCTTAGTTGGTTAAGCCTATTTAAGGTTTTCTCTCCCACATTCTTGCCAACTTTTTAATTCTTGACCTGATGGTGAAAATGCCTTGTTGTAATTTGTATTCTTTGGCAGCCATAAATGTGATGAATCTCACTGTTTTTTTCAAGTTTCCTCTTATGTCCTTTAGGAAAATTACAGAGCTGTTTTCCCTGTAGAAACCTATCCTTTTTGGTTTCAGGTTTCTTGAGGTCTATTATATTGTCTTTCCTTTTGCGTGTGGTTTCAGTGGGAGAACCGATCAACTTCGAGGCTTGGGAGTGGCTCCACAAGGTGGTGGGGGACAGCAGATGCACGCTGGTGGACACGTGGTGGCAGACAGGTGAGAGTCCCGGAGGAGAAGGGGTCCAGGCACACCTTTGGAACCCGGCACCAGGCTCGCTCGCGGTGCACGACAGCACATGGGAACCTGTGGCCGAGCCTGAGTCTTGGAGGCTCAAGTGTGAGTGAGGCTCTGTGATTGCCATCCAACAGCACTGAGGCCTCAGCCCCTCGGCACGCGTGGTGGCTGGAAAACCCGGCGTCTGGAGTGAGAGGCCGAGCCGGGCTGCCGGCTTGCAGCTGGAAGTCTCGGGATGTGTATGACTTCTCTGAGCCTTGGGGTTCTTATTTGTGAAGTGGAGGTACTCCACTACAGGCCCCAACGAGGATGGAGAGAGGTGATGCAACTGCTGTATGTTGTCCAAGGCCTGACAGATAGTAGGTGCTTAGCTAAATGTTCATTTTCCCTGTAGGGGCCACATGCCCAACATAAGTACAACTGATGCAGATGGGCCCCACTGCAGGGGACCAGAGTCTAAATTTAGATTTCAGTGGGAAAGGCATTTTTTTTTTTTCTGTGCCATTTTGTTTTGCTTTGCCCTTTCTCCTCTGGGGTATCTGACTTATTAGGATGTTAGGGCAAGAGACCACCACTGATGTAATGAATGTAGCCAGCTGGGGTCTCATTCTTCAAGAAGCCAGAAAGTGAGGCATTGCAAATAGCTCTGTTCTCCATTTGGGAAGCCTCAGGATGGAGACTCTCTACAGCTGAGTCTCCTGAGGCATTTCCATGCAGGCTGAGAGAGAGAAGTGCCAAAGAAATACTTGAGAACAGAATTGTGGGCATTGCTTTTCACTGTTTGGGGTTTGTGTGTGGGGGGGAGGGGCACTGGCCCAGAAGCAATTCATTTCCTCTGTTTTCCTGTGCAAGTGGGTGGGCTCTGTCCTGTCCCACAGAGCCAAGGACGAGAGGAGGCAGCCCCTGTCCCTGTGAAGTGCCCCAGCTCCTGGGACTGACCCCTCTGTCTTGGGCCCACATCTTGTTTCTGCAGATGAGAGGACAAGAACCCAGGTCTGGTCTTGCCTCAGAAAGATATCTTCGTGTCACTGGGGGCCAAGCAGGGACAAACACCCATCTCCCACCCTGGGAGAGCACTTGTGTGTCCATCACGGACTCTTTGATGGCATGTCTAGATAAACATCTCAGTAGCCCCTGGGCCCAGCCTGCATTTCTTCCCTATTCTCCCTGCAGAAACGGGTGGCATCTGCATCGCGCCACGGCCCTCAGAGGAAGGGGCAGAGGTCCTCCCTGGCATGGCGATGCGGCCCTTTTTTGGCATTGTCCCGGTGCTCATGGACGAGAAGGTAAGGGCCTTGTGGAGGCATCCCTTTCCTGCACTCATGCCCTGCGGAGCTCCTGGCGCTCCTGTCTACCTTCCTGGCCTCCTCTGCCCCTGTCTCACATCACATGGGCCCGGCTCTAGTAGGTAGCAGAAGGGTGAGCGTTCACTGCAGCGTCTCCTCAAGGACACACAGTTGAAATCCGTGCGTGGAGTAAGCGCAGGGTCCTCCGGAAAGCCCTCTTAGGCTGGTTCCTTGCAGAGGAGAAAGGCAGTTCCTTTTGGGGCATGCTTGTCATTTTTCACATTTCTGTTTTTACGTATTTCTCTGGCACCCCCCTCTGTCATTTCTCAGAAGAACATTAGTTCTTTGCTTCTAAAGCAGAATCTGTGCGTTCTCTCACACGTGTGTCTCTGGGTCCATAGGGAAATGTCGTGGAGGGCAGTAACGTCTCCGGGGCTCTGTGCCTGTCCCAGGCCTGGCCGGGCATGGCCAGGACCATCTACGGAGACCACCAGAGATTCATGGAGGCCTACTTCAAGCCTTACCCAGGTGAGCTGTCTGAAGTGGATTGTGTCATGCGTTTTTGTACACACTGGGAAGCATAGGCTCAGAAAATGTTTTTAAGGTAATGATGACTGAGTGTAGTGTGGTGACACTTTGGAGTTGGGAGTCCTGACCCTCCTGGGCTCAGAATGGGAAGAGTCCCTGGGGTTTAAGAGGGGCTGCAAGCAGAGACTGAAGCACCTGGCCCTTGGTGTGCATGCCTTAGGCTACTAGGAAGGAAGAGTGAAGAAACCACTCTGGAAAACTGGCATGATGGCTGGCTGTGAGTTTTCTTCTGGCTTACTTTTTTTTTTTTCCTGGTTTGCTTTGTGTCATTGGGTTGGAAGATGATATACACAGTGTGCCTATTGGAACCCATCATCTTCATTTCAAGCTTGTGAATGAGCCTCACTTTGGGGGATGCTTGGACGTGCTCTTTGTATACCATCTACTCCCCAGACGTTTGCAGTCGTGACGTGGTCAGAATTCTGCTGTTTCGGAGCCATTGCCCTTTCTCTAGCACACAGCCAGATGGCACCATCTAGAGAAGTATCTCTGTGAGGGGTTGGCAGGAGGGCAGGTAGGCAGGAAGTCAGCAGCCTGGGGCTTCAGAGATTTCTTCTGTAGAGTGAGGTCAGGGTGTGTGTCTTGCTGTGTCCCTCCTGGAGGGATGGGAGCCCCGCCAGGTCCTGGTGCAGAGGTTTTGGTACTGAATTCCCCCGCTGTGGTGCAGGCCACTACTTCACCGGTGATGGGGCATACAGGACAGAGGGCGGCTACTACCAGATCACAGGGCGGATGGACGACGTCATCAACATCAGCGGTCACAGGCTGGGGACCGCAGAGATCGAGGACGCGATGGTGAGCACGGTTGGGCCTCCTTTGCTGGGGTACATCCACAAGGCCTTGGATTTACTTGTGTGCTGACTCAGGCGGTTCATCTGCATGTTTTGTCTTGTGTTCTGCCCAGGCTAACCACCCCGCTGTGCCAGAGACCGCTGTCATTGGCTATCCCCATGACATCAAAGGAGAAGGTGAGCGCCCACAAAAGGTGCTCCTCATTCCTGGTTTCATGCACATTGTGGCACTTTGTAACAGGAATGGACTCCGGGAGTGGGTGGTAGGGGTTTTGTATGGGTCAAGCTGTTGCTTTCTTCTGTCCTATGTGGAGGTTTTGGGTGAGGAGACTCAATAGCATGTATGTTAGACAAGGGTCAGATTTTTGAAATGTCCTAGCTCTGCCATCCCTTAAGGACACACATCCACAAGCAGCCAGGACCTGTTTGGCCCCTGCTGAGCTTGGGAGTTTCCTCCTCTGTTCCTGTGCATGTGGCAGCTTGGTTATGGAGGGTGCCCACGAAATGCCCTGTCCTGCTCACAGCGTCTCCTTGCACGTGCTCGGTCACAGTGCCCCACGCAGCTGTCACAGGGGCTGCCCGACAGGCCCTGGCGCGGGCCCTTGTGCAGCTCTGGCATTCTTTTTGGAGGCGTTTGACCTGTGGTTCTCACTGCAGATGCTGAATGATAATCAGAATAGTCTTTATTTGAAGACACCCATTGTTCCAAAGTCTGCCAGTTTCTAAGTGGGTGGGTCTGGGAAGGGACAGGGTCCCCTGAGTATTGTAGTGCCCAGTGCACGGTGGCCATACTCACTTGGCCTGGTGTGACCTGCACACTCGCTGACTCTATGCTGCATTGCTGGGCAGGCCATCCTCCACTGCCCGGCCAAGCATCTTGGGAAGGGTACTTGGCCTCTTGCTGTCAGGGCCATCCTCTGTCTCTGCGTGCCCCAGTGTCATCTGCCTTCCTGTCACATTTGTGTGCCACGGTTCCATTATTTACTCAAACACCTTATCTAAATCAACCCATTGTAAAATTTAACATTTATTTAAACACTTTTTTTTAAAGATTTTATTTATTTATTTGTCAGAGATACAGAGCTAGAGAGCACAAGCAGGGGGAGGAGTGGGCTTCCCGCAGAGCAGGGAGCCGATGCAGGGCTCAATCCCAGGACCCTGGGACCATGACCTGAGCCGGAGGCAGACGCTTAACAAACTGAGCCACTGAGGCGTCCTATTTAGACACTTGAAAAAGCATTTTCAGTTGCCGTGAGAAGCATGTGTCCATGAGGCTGCTGCCCCTTCCTTAGCAGGAGACTGGAAAATGCACGAGAGCAGTCAGGGATAGGAAGGGGACGGAGATGGGTCAGGTCCTCTCGTGTGACATTCAGAGGCCTTGGGTCAGCTTGTGTCCCCGTTAGCAGAAGCTGCAGCCCAAGTAACTCTGGGATCAGTAGGCCTTTCAGTGCCTGTCAGGCAGCTGGGGGGAATGTACATATCATGGGTATGGTGATAGACATTTTTCTGATTTTTTTTTTTTAAGGATTTTTAATTTATTTTTTGACAGAGAGACAGCGAGAGAGGGAACACAAGCGGGGGAGTGGGAGAGGGAGAAGCAGGCTTCCCGCGGAGCAGGGAGCCCAATGTGGGGCTCGATCCCAGGACCCTGGGATCATGACCTGAGCCGAAGGCAGATGGCTAACGACTGAGCCACCCAGGCACAGCTGTTTTTCTGATTTCTAACATAGTTGAGCATCTGTGTGATGGTAACACATGAGCAACAGCAAAAGCTGTTGGGTACCTGTGTATTCCCACTCCCTGGGTTTGCACGTGGTCTGACTGAGGGGAGCCCCTGGTCTGGTCTGGTCTGATTAGGACCCAGACTTGGCGAGGAACAAAACTCCTTGCTTCATAGAGCTTACGTGCTGGAGGATCGGGGAGTAGAGGGGAGAGACAGACAATAAGCAATAAACACAAGCAATGACAAAACTACATAGTAGGCTAGGCGGCATGTGCCATGAAGAGAATTAATTAAGATGGGGTGGGATTGGTGCAGGTATACACAGGCTAAACGTATATAGGAACTTCATGTATGTGAGGGGACACTGCAGGTCCATGAGGGAAGCTAGACTGTCTGCAGGGCTGCTGGGATGGCTCATGTGGAGAAACAATGGAATTGGATCTGTGTCCCACACATGCAAGATTATCCCAGGTGGATTGAAAAGAAATGTAGAAACCTGTGGGAACCACTGTTAATCCTTTCTGGAACATGGTAGGATACTGACAAACAAAACTTAGTGTTTATGCTAAAATATTGGTTGGCCAGCCCTGCCCAACAGGGCTTCCAGCCAAGCCGGAGCTTCCTCTTCATCTGTGCTGTCCAGGACAGTAGCCACAAGCTACAGGGGGCTCATGCCACCCAGGAACTACATGTTAACCTTAATTTCATTTACATTTAAATAGCTACTGTGGCTAGTGCCCACTGTGTTGGACACGTACCTACAAGATTAGTGTCACCTGTTATGTTCCCATCACCACGTCACAAGGGTGGACAGTATGTCTCCTTTGAGCCCACATTATGGGCTACTTCACAAGTACAAGGATGGTAGGAGAGATTAAGTCATGCCTCCAAGGTGACATCCCCATCCAGTCAACACAAGAGCCAAAGGGAGCTCTCATCTACATGTCGGCTTCACTAGGATGTTCATGGGAGCTGTTAGAATCGCTTCCACTTTGAGAAAAAAAAAATCACTTCCCACTTTGGATGAAATGGGAATGCATCTTTAGGGCTGCAACTAAAGGAAGCAGCTGCTACAGGTCACCAATGTATGATTTAAAGATCCTTAAGATATATGATAACTGTGTACAATGCTCTGCCTTGGAGATGATTCGTGGTTGAACACACCCCAAACCTTTGACTCCTTTCAGCTGCATTTGCCTTCATCGTGTTGAAGGACAACACAAGTGACACAGATGCTGTGGTGAAGGAGCTCAGATCAGCAGTGGCCACCAAGATTGCCAAGTACGCCGTGCCCGATCAGATTCTGGTGAGTGGCACCTGGCCCTCAGATGTGATGGCGCTGCTTGTTGTAAGCCTTCTCTACTTCCCACAAGTAATGAGCAAAAGTGATCCCTTCCATCGGCAGCAACATGGATGTTAGCTGTTTGGTTGCCTGGGATGTAGGTGGGGAAGGTGAGTTGCTGCATCCTCAGAGAGAGGGGGAGGCCAGAAGACCTCACAGCAAACGTTTTCACAACTCAGAGGATCATGCTGGGCAGGATTAGGTGCTCTCTTACTTTGGCATGTGGAGGCCAGTTATAGGAGCAGGGCTGGGCAGTGAAGAAAATTTAGAGATTTTACTTATTTTTTAAAAGTTTTTATTTAAATTCCAGTTAGTTAACATACAGTGTAATATTAGTTTTAGATGTACAATGGAGTGATTCAACCCTTCTATACATCACCCGGTGCTCATCATAACCAGGGCACTCCTTAATCTCCATCACCTACTTAACCCATCCCTTCCCCACCTCCCCTCTAGTAACCATTAGTTTGTTCTCTGTAATTAAGAGTCTGTTTCTTGGTTTGCATCTCTCTCTCTCTTTCCCCTTTTGCTCATATATTTTGTTTCTTAAATTCCACATATGAGTGAAATCATATGGTATTTGTCTTTCTTTGACTGACTTATTTTGCTTAGCACTGTACTCTCTGGCTCCATCCATGTCATTGTCAGTGGTAAGATTTCATTCTTTTTTTTATGGCTGGGTAATACTCCATTGGATACACACACACACACACACACACACATATCTATATACACACCACATCTTTATTCATTCATCAGTCAATGGACACTTGGGCTCCTTCCATAATTTGGCTATTGTAGATAATGCTGCTATAAACATTGGAGTGCATGTACCCCTTTGAATTAGTGTTTTTGGATTCTTTGGGTAAATACCTAGTAGTGTGACTGCTGGATCAGAGGGTAGTTCTATTTTTAACTTTTGAGGAACCTTCATACAGTTTTCTAGAGTGGCTGCACCAGTTTGCATTCCCACCAACAGTGTAAGAGGGTTCCCCTTTCTCCACATCCTTGCCAACATCTGTTGTTTCCTGTGTTGTTGAGTTTAGCCATTCTGACAGGTGTCAGGTGATACCTCATTGTAGTGTTGATTTGTATTTCCCTGATGATGAGTGATGTTGAGCATCTTTTCATGTTTCTGCTGGCCATCTGTATTGTCTTCTTTGCAAAAATGTCTATTCATGTCTTCTGCCCAGGTTTTAGTTGGATTGTTTTTTGGGTGTTGAGTTTGATAAGCTCTTTATAGATTTTGGATACTAACCCTCTATCAGATATGTCATTTGCAAAACATCTTCTCTCATTCTGTAGGTTGCCTTTTAGTTTTGTTGATTGTTTCCTCCACTGTGCAGAAGCTTTTTATTTTGATGAAGACCCAATAGTTTATTTTTGCTTTTGTTCCCCTTGCCTCAGGAGACCTATCTAGAAAGAAGTTCTATGGCTGATGTCAAAGAGGCTACACTCTGTGTTCTCCTCATGGATTTTTATGGTCTCAGGTCTCACATTTAGGTCTTCAATCCATTTTGAATTTATTTTTGTGTGTAGTGTAAGAAAGTGGTCCAATTTCATTTGTTGCAGAGATGGTCTTTTTCCCATTGGATATTCTTTCCTGCTCTGTCGAAGATTAATTGACCATATAGTTGTGGGTCATTTCTGGGTTTTCAGTTCTGTTCCAATCATCTATGTGTTTGTTTTTGTGCCAGTACCATACTGTTTTGATCACTACAGCTTTATAATGTAACTTGAAGCCTGGAATTGTGATGCTTCCAGCTTTGCTTTTCTTTTTCAAGGTTTCTTTGGATATTTGGGGGTCTTTTGTGTTTCCATACAAATTTTAGAATTGTTTGTTCCAGTTCTTGTGAAAAATGCCAATGGTATTTGATAGGAATTGCATTAAATGTATAGTGCTTGGGTAGTATAGACATTTTAACAATATTTGTTCTTCCAATCCATGAGCATGGAATGTCTTTACATTTCTTTGTGTCATCTTCAGTTTCTTTCATCAGTGTTTTATAGTTTTCACAGTACAGATCTTTTACCTCTTTGGTTAGGTTTATTCCTAGGTATCTTACTGTTTTTGGTGCAATTGTAAATGGGATTGATTCCTTATTTTCTCTTTCTGCTGCTTCATTATGGTGTCTAGAAATGCAACAATTTCTGCATGTTAACTTTGTATCCTGTGACTTTACTGAATTTGTGTATCAGTTCTAGCAGTTTTTTGTTGGAGTCTTTGTTTTTTTACACAGAGTATCATGTCATCTGTGAATAGTGAAAATATTACTTCTTCCTTGCTGATTTGGATGCCTTTTACTTCTTTTTGTTTGATTGCTATGCTTAGGACTTCTGGTTCTATCTTAAATAACACTGGTGAGAATGGACATCCCTGTTTTGTTCTTGACTGTAGAAGACAAGCTCTCAGTTTTCCCCATTGAGGATGATATTAGCTGTGAGTTTTTTGTTTATGGCCTTTATAATGTTGAGGTATGTTCCCTCTAAATCTACTTTGTTGAGGGTTTTTTTATCATGAATGTACTGTACTTTGTCAGATGCTTTTTCTGCACCTATTGAAATCATATGGTTTTTATCCTTTCTTTATTAATATGGTATATCACATTGATCTGCAAATATTGTACCACCCTTGCAACCCAGGAATAAATCCCACTTGATTGTGGTAAATGATTGTTTAAATGTATTGTTTGCTAGTATTTTATTGAGAATTTTTGCATCTGTGTTCATCAGGGATATTGGCCTTTAGTTCTCTTTTTTAGTGGAGTCTTTTTTTCTTTTTGGATTTAATAAAGTTTTATTTTCCCAAATGTACAGTTGATGGGATCTGTTCATGCGTTTTACCAGCAGCAGGGGCATCTCCACCCTTGGTGTTTCTGGTGTAAATTACTTGAGCTCTGTGCTTTGAAACCAGTTTTTAATGAGTCCTTTACTAAGGAGCTCCTGAAGGACTGCCCTGGCCAGGGAACCTCGAATCTTTAGTCTCCCAGAGACAACACCTGGAGTCATAAGCTTATAGTTGGGAACTTCCTTACAGAGTCTGTCATATGTCACTTTGTCAAACAAGACCAGGTTACTGAGCTTGTCCCAAACTCTCCTTTGGACCCTTCTTTCTGGCCTTACTCCTGGATTTGTTCACTAGGTCTTTATCGTTTTTGGCTGACTTTCCAGCATCTTTCTTCTTGTTGTCCTTGGGCGGCATGGTGAAGCTCAGAGGACAGCGGTCACCCCCGCAGCCTGGCTAAGATGTAGAACAATAAGGTTAGTGGAGTCTTTCTCTGGTTTTGGTATCATGGTAATGCTCGCCCCATAGAATTAATTTGGAAGTTTTTTTTCCTTTTCTATTTTATGGAATGATTTGAGAAGAATAGGTGTTTGGTAGAATTTGCCTGTGAAGCCATCTGGGCCTGGACTGTTGTTTGTTGGGAGATTTTTGATTACAGACTCAATTTCTTTGCTGGTTATTGGTCTGTTCAAGTTTTCTATTTTTTCCTGTTTCAATTTTGATAATTTATAGGTTTCTAGGAATTTATCCAATTCTTCTAGGTTGTCCAGTTTGTTGGCATATAGTTTTTCATGACATTGTCTTATAATCTTGTTTGTCTTTCTCTGGTGTTTGTTGTTATTTCTCCTCATTTGTGATCTTATTTATTTGGGTCTTTTCTCTTTTCTTTTCGGTTGGCTAGAGGTTTATCAATTTTATTTTTTTCAAAGAGCCAGCTCCTGGTTTCATTGACCTATCCTAGTATTTTTTTTTTAAATTATTATGTTCAGTTAGCCAACATATAGTAGTACATCATTAGTTTTTGATATAGTGTTCAGTGATTCATTAGTTGCATACAACACCCAGTGCTCATCACAACATGTGTCCTCCTTAATACCCATCACCAGGTTACCTCATCCCCCAATTCCCCTTCCTTCTGTAACCCTCAGTTTGTGTTCTAGTATTTTTTTACTTTCTATATCATTTATTTCTGCTCTAATCTTTATTATTTCCTTCCTTTTGCTGGCTTTAGGCTTCATTTGTTGTTCTTTTTCTAGCTTCTTTGGGTTTAAGGTTAGATTGTTTATTTGAGATTTTTGTTTCTTAAGGTAGGTCTGTATTGCTAGATACTTCCCTCTTAGGACTGCCTTTGTTGTATCCCAAAGGTTTGTACTGTTGTGTTTTCATTTTCATTTTTTTTTTCTTTGATTTCCTGGTTGACCCATTCATTGTTTCATAGCATGCTGTTTAACCTCCATGTATTAGTGGTCTTTCCAAAGTTTTTCTTGTGGTTGATCTCTAGTTTCATAGTGTTATGGTCGAAAAATGTGCGTGGTATGATTTCAGTCTTTTATACTTGTTGAGGCCTGTTTTGTGACCTAATATGTGATCTATTCTGGAGAATGTTTCATGTGCACTTGAAAAGAATGTGTATTCTGCTGTTTTAGGATGGAGTGTTCTGAATATATCTGTTAAGTCCCTCTGGTCCAGTGTGTCATTCAAAGCCATTGTTTCCTTATTGATTTTCTGTTTAGACGATCTGTCTATTGGTGTAAGTGGGATGTTAAAGTCACCTATTATTATTGTATTATTATCAATTAGGTCCTTTATGTTTGTTATTTTTTTAATATGTATTTGGGTGTTCCCATGTTGTGGGCATAAATATTTATGATTGTTATATCTTCTTGTTGGATTATCCCCTTTATGATTATATAGTGTCCTTCTTTGTCTCTTGTTACAGTCTTTGTTTTAAAATACATTTTGTCCAAAATAAATATTGCTACTCCAGCTTTCTTTTGACATCCATTTGCACGACAGATGTTTCTCCAACCGCTCACTTTCAATTTACAGGTGTCTTTAGGTCTAAAATGAGTCTCTTGTTGGCAGCATATAGATGGGTCTTGTTTTTTATCCATTCTGGCACCATATGCCTTTTGATTGGCGTGTTTAGTCTATTTAAATTCAGAGTAATTATTATTGTTTTTTAAAGATTTTATTTATTTGAGAGAGAGAGAGAGAGAACACGCACGAGTTGGGGGAGGGTCAGAGGCAGAGGGAGAAGGAGAAGCAGACTCCCCACTGAGCAGGGAGCCCAAAGCTGGGCTTGATCCCAAGACCCTGAGATCATGACCTGTTTTGTCATTGTGTCTGGAGATTTTCTCTGATCATTTTTTGTCTTTGTCACATTTGGTCTCTTCTTTGCACTTAGTCTCTTTTAAAGTTAAAAATAGAACTACCCTATGACCCAGCAATTGCACTACTATGTATTTATCTAAAGGATACAAGCTGATTTGAAGGGGCACGTGCACCCCAATGTTTATAGCAGCAATGTCCACAATAGCCAAATTATGGAAAGAGCCCAGGTGTCCATCTGTAGATGAATGGATAAGGAAATGGTATATATACACAATGCAATATTACTCAGCCATCAAAAAGAATGAAATCTTGCCATTTGCAATGATGTGGATGGAACTGGAGGGTATTATGCTATGCGAATAAGTCAGATAAAGACAAATACCATATGATTTCACTCATATATGCAATTTAAGAAACAAAACAGATGAACTTAGGGGAAGGGAAGGAAAAAATATAAGATGAGGATAGGGAGGCAAACTGTAAGAAACACTGAACTCTAGGAAACAAACTGACGGTTGCTGGAGGGGATGTGGGTGGGGGATGGGGTAACTGGGTGATGGGCATTAAGGAGGGCATGAGATGTAATGAGCACTGGGTGTTATATGCAACTGATGAATCACTAAATTCTACCCTGGTGTAACTAATAATACAGTATATATTAACTAAATTGAATTTAAATAATTAAAAAAAGAGTCCCTTTTAATGTTTCCTGCAGGGCTGGGTTAGTGGTCACAAACTCCTTTAGTTTTTGTTTGTCTGGGAAACTCTTTATCTCTTATTCTGTTCTGAATGACAGCCTTGCTGGATAGAGTATTCTTGGCTGCAGATTGTTCCCATTCAGCACTTTGAATGAATATATATATATATATATCATGCTACTCCCTTTTGGCTTGCCAAGTTTCTATGGAGAAATCTCCAGCTAGCCTTACGGGTCTTCCCTTGTAAGTTAAGGACTTTTTTCTTGATGCTTTTAAGATTTTTTCTCTGTCACTGTATTTTGCAAGTTTAACTACCACATGTTAGTGTTGGCCTGCTTTTGTTGATTTTGATGGAAGTTCTCTGTTCCCCCTAGATCTGGATGTCTGTTTCCTTCCCCAGATTAGGGACGTTTTCAGCTATTATTTCTTCGAACAAATTTTCTGCCTCCTTTCATCTCTCTTCTTCTGGGACTCCTATAATATAAATGTTTTTACATTTGTTGGAGTCACTGAGTTCTTGAAGTCTATTCTCATGTTTCCTAATTCTTTCTCTTTTGTTCAGCTTCATTATTTTCTATTATTTTATCTTCTAGGTCACTAATTTGTTCCTTTGCTTCTTCCAGTCTGCTGTTAATTGTATCAGGCCTGTATCCAATTTCATATATTGCATTCTTCATCTCTGATTGATTCTTTTTTAACTCTTTTATCTCTGTGGTAAGGTTCTCATTGAAGTCTTCTATTCTTCTTTCAAGTCCAGTGAGTATCCTTATGATTGTTACTTTAAATTCTCCATCATGCATGTTACTTATATCTGTCTCACTTAGATCTCTGGCTGTGACTTTATCTTGTTCTTTCATTTGGGATAAATTCTTCCATCCTCTCATTTTGTCTAAGTCTCTACCTTCTTCTAAAAATTAGAGTTTAAATAGAGAAACATGTGGAAAGTACAGCTTTCCCTAGCCCCTGTGTGGTTTCTGAACACATCACCTGGTGTCAGTGCGGGAGACACTGCCAGACCCCTATCTGAGGGAGTCTGTGTTGGAGTCAGGTCTGGGGAATAATGGGGCCACCTTTCCAGCCCCATTAGGTTTCTACTCCTTTCTTTGTTAACATTTTCCCCACAGCCTTCCTTGCTTCAGAGGAGGTCCTCTGAGGGAGGCACGGCCCCAGGCTCACCTGGTCTTATACAAAGTCAAGCTGTTGGCCTGGACCAGAGTTTCAGGGAAACCTGAACTCCCCTAGGTGAACTGAACCCTTTCAAAAGATGGGTAACTGTTAAATAAGCCCCAAACACGGCTCTTAACATATTGCTGTTGACATTAAGGGGATCATGGTTGTTTGAAAATGTTAAATGCTAAATTTTCAAACACTAAACAAACAACATTTTTCTCTAAAGTAGTAGCTCTTACCTTTTATGTCAGCAAAAAACAACCTTGGGCCAAGCCAGTCAGTGGAGATGAGTTGCCATGGCATATGCTTGGTTCTGTTGCTACTGGGGAGCTCTCAGAAATGTAGCAAATGGGAGACAGAGGTATCAGCAGTGAGGCAGACCAGGGTGCCGGCAAACCCTGCCTGAAGAAGGGCTTCAGCAAAACCCCTGACGTATGGTTGATCCTTTGGGTTGATTTCAGTTTATGTCTAGATTGTGGGAAGATAAAACCAGAGACCACAGGCCCCCATGTTCTCTAGGGTGGGCCTGGCACCTCAGTCGTGTTCATTCCTGAGTCCCCAGTGAGGCTGTCAACCCCTGGGCAGAGCCCTTCTTATGCCAACAAAATTGGATGCCGCTGGGAGTCTGGGCACCACACAAACTTGAATGCTGCACCCCTTCCTTGCCAGGTAGTGAAGCGTCTTCCAAAAACTCGGTCTGGAAAAGTCATGCGGAGGCTCCTGAGGAAGATAATCACGGGCAGAGCTCAGGATCTGGGGGACACCACCACCCTGGAGGACCCCAGTGTCATCACGGAAATCCTGAGTGCCTACCAGAAGTACAAATCCAAGCAAGCTGCCTCTCAGTGATGGGCTCTGGTCAAGACCCAGTCCCCACACCCCTAACCGTCGTTCCAGAATGTAGCTCTCAGATGTGCTCATTTTCTGCTCTCTCAGAAGCAGGCCTCTCCCAGAGCATAACCCATACTGCCCCAGTGTGAAGTCTGTGCTAAACCCTGCCTTCTTGCTGCTGAGAACCCATGAAGAAGTACTATCAGACATGCTTAGCATTTGCTTCCCCTTTTCCTGAATTTGGTTTCCTGGAATGAAAAGTCACTGTCATCTCCATTTCTGTGTTACCTCCTGACAGCACAGGAAGGTGAAAAGCCTGGTAACATGTGCCTGCTCAGATGACTGAGAACTAGAAGCAATCATAGTTCTTCTATGATTTTCCCAGATGTTTCTAGATACAAAAGGCAGATACTTTATTTTTATACTTTTATATTTTGGAAGACTGTACAAATACACACATGTAGTATGTGGATTTACATGTACATGCTCTTTGTAACATTTAGAGCTATGAAAATCTTTTGTGCCTCTGCTCATGGGGAAATGTGGAGAGGGTCAGAGGGTGCGTTTTTAATGTTCGGCATATGGGGGAATCTGTATTGGAAATGTTTGTACCTTTGTCTAAATATAGCTATCTTGAGAACTTTCAAGCTTGTAGCATCCTTTTTTGATATATATTTCTATTTCCCTTGGTTTATGTATAATGAAACCTAACTCTTAAGAAGTGGTGGTACGAATGTGCTCTGATTTTAGTTTTAGAACCACTCATGTATTCTGTTTCTCCAAGCTGTGATGTGGAAACACTTCCCTCTCCACCTTGGATGCCTCTTGGTAGGAGGTCAACATGCTCCAAATACGTGGGGATGTTCAGGGAGGGAAGCCCATGGAAACTCAGGTGACTCCTCATTAGGGCCCTAATTTGGCTAGAAATGGGTCCTTGAAAACTGCCTGCCCTTCATTCTGTGGTTGGTGTGGGAAGAACCACAGAGGTCCAAGGATGAGACTTGGAACTCTGAATCAAGTCTCTCTCTCTCTCTAAGTATGCCTTAAGTCATCTGAACATTAGCAAGATGACATAAATCATTAGGTTGCAAAGTGTTTATTAGCTAAGCATTCAGGGGCCGATGGCATGGAGTACAGGTGAAGGCAGCCTGCTGAGCTGGGTCTTCGGGAACAGGGAAAATTTGTCCTTATCTATACTCCATGTTATATGGTGCCTTGCAGCTGTGTAGGTGTTCAAGTGGTGTCTGGGGTACTGAACACCTACTGTGGGTCATAACTATGCTTGCTTCTCTCTGATTTGGCGAGTATGCCTGTGACACCAATGGGGTGGCCATTAGCTGTAGCCCACAGATACACTGAGTGATGGTCTGTTCTCTGTCACTAAGCAACAAGCCGTGCTTAGCAACAGAGACCTGTGGCGTGTGTGGTGGACCTGACGGCTTGTAGTTATGGCACTATTTATGAAATGGCTTGAATATAAACTTGGACAGTGACCAGGGCAGTTCAAATAAAGCTTTATTTTGTTCATCCTCTTCTCTCTGTGGTGATATTTTTGATCAAATAATGCTGTTGTTGCTGAATATAATCCTAAGGACAAAACTGGAAGGGGCCTATTCATTCAAAAGAGAACACTTAATAGTCCATTGGGGAGGAAACCCATTACAGGGAGGAAATCTAGACTAAGAGCTCACCCATCTCACACTGTTGCTTGGTAAACCTGTGTCTAGATTGCTGTGCTATCCAATACACTAGTTCTACGTAGCTCTTTAGGTGTAAGTAAAAAAAAATATATAGAATAGAATGGAATAAAATAAAATATTCCATTCCACAGCGGCAGTAGCCACAGTTCACATGCTCAGTAGCCACATGGCCAGTAGTTACCAGATTGGACAGCATGGACAACAACATTCCCATCATCACACAGAGTTCTGGTGATGGGCGCTGGTCTGGAACACCCATTAGAACGAGGAAGCAAAAACGATGTCAGGGTCACAGACTGCATCTGTGAGCAGCAGAGGCTTGCCTGAGAGACATTCCCTGACCCAGGGTTATCCTTTCTCTAGACGTGAGAGAACATCGGTTTCTGTGTCCTTCACCAAACAGAGAAGCTGATTTTAGAGAATACACTGAACTGGTGCCACGGGAGCTGGGATGTGAGAGACCCCAGTCTGGGCGGCTCCTACAAAGCCTGGACCCCTGGTTTACCCACTGCAATGAGTTCATGGTGAAGAAAAGGGAGTGTGAATTCTCACCCAGTTTCCCCAGCCTGACTGGAAAGAGGGGATTTGGCTGTGGAATTAACATGAGCTCTTGGTTGTTGCAGAGCTGACTTGCACCCACTGCACCAACCACCCTCAGGATACCCAACATCAGGAACAACAGCAGTAATGGTCACACTACACTGCTGGGCACTGTGTTCAAGGAGGCCCTGAGAAGGTTCTGGATTCCATCCCCCCATCTCTTCCTCGTGTGGCCCTCTGAGGCAGACACTGTTACCCCGGCTTCACAGAAGAGGTGGGGAGAGGCAGAGCTGGGACGTGGATGGAGATTGTCTGGCTCTACCCTTGATCCCCAAGCTCAGACCAAAGGTGTGGCCCCTTCCTGCAAGAGCTTTGAAGAATATCAACCGCATTTTATTTTTATTATTTTATTATTATTTTTTAAGGTGCTTTACTGTTGACATCTGAGTAGCTCTATGAACTCTTGGATAGAGGTAGGAAGCCTAAATCCAGGCCAAGAGGAAGCTTTCCTGGAGACAGCGCTTTTGGAAGGGGTGGTGATGCCAACTTGACTTTCAGTGAACCTCTAATTGGGGCTATGTAAGTTTTCCCTTCATCAGTTTGGGAATTTGTTGCATAACAGGATTAAACCAAATAAATACATAATTTCTAGGTCTGTGAATACCAACTGTCTTTGGTTTTTGCAGTATTATCTTTTGTTGACTTGTTTTTATTCACCCTGTGTGGGCTCTGAGGTGCTTCTTGGATCTGTAGCTCGATATCCATCTTAATCAGTTTTGGAAGTGTCTCAATCATTATCTCCTCAAATATAGTGTTTGCCTATTTGGTCTCCTTTTCTTGAGGAACTTCTCACCTATTTCCTAGATCTCTTACTGCTTTAGTCTCCAGTGTCCTGGAAGCAGAGCCTGAGATGAGGGCCTGCATCCAGGTGATTTGCTTAGGAATGGGACCCTCGGGACAGGCGTGAGGAATGGGGGTGTGAAACAGGGAAGGAGGGAAACCAGTGCAAGCAGGTGCGGTGCTGGGACAGCCAGCACCATCAGCCGCCGCTCTGTGTCCCGGGCCTCAGGGGGGTCTTAACCAGCGTGTCTCTGACCCAGCTCAGAATGAGCTGTCTGAGATGTTGCACGGCCTCTCAACTTTCCCCTCTGGAGCCTGCAGATGCACTCAGGAAAAAGTGGCTCCCTGCACTGGGCTCATCTCCCTGAGCTTCTGTCTCCAAAAAGCCCTCCTGCCTGCTGTCCTGGTTTATAAGTATTGGAGTATCATTTTTCTCACTTGCCTTGCTCTCTGGAACGAAAAGAGGGGTTAAGAAAAAAGAAGCCTCTGTTTCCACACTCTTTTGTTCAGTTGCTCAGATTCTTCTTTTCCCTATCTTAAGGATATGGGGAGACAGGGGGATGCCCCCAAATTTGTTCCTAATCAGCCATGCCAGAGGCAAGCTGTGACCCTCCAAGCACACCCCCAGGGAGTTCCCTCACCAGTGGCCTTTGCTAAATGTGAAGTTGAAGTTCCTGCCTGCACCAGTCTTTATTCCAAATAGTAGAGAAGGAGCTGGTTAGTGCCCCTGGTGCCTGCACCAAAGGGTACCAACCATGGCCAAGGAGGTGAGAAACCAGAGGGCAAAAATCCAAGTCTAAATAAACCTAGAAAGAGCAAAGGGGAAGAAGGCTGGGGCTGGCTGGCCTAGGACATCATCAACAGACTGGTAGGTACCAAGGAGTTTAGAGTCTGTTGGAATAGATGGCCTGCCAACTTCTTTTGCAGCAGGGTGGGATTTTCTTGGTAAGAGCCACCAACTGGGTAACTGTGTCTAGTCTCCTTGCTCCTGTAGACCAAACTTATGCTGAGCAGCCTTCTGGATGCACAGCCTCATTTTGGGCTGAGTCTTCCCCAAAGAAGATGTCACCTCAGTCAACCACACATCTCTTTATTCCTGAGCCAAGGAAACACTTAACTCTTACACGTATGCAAACGTTTGCTCAAAAAGGCAGAGCAGAAATCGTCCAAAGGGAAATAACTAGTTGCTTTCAAGAAATGGTTTCTGGGTGTAATGAAATGTGATGAACGAGTGACCCAAGGAACCGATGGAGCAGATGAGCTCACTTCTCAACAGAGGTAACGATAATGAATGTCCAGGTCTATGCAGATGCCGACTGGTGAATGTCTTTCCTACGAGCACCTTTTCCTACCAAGTCAGGGTTGACCTTATGAATCTTCCTCATTAGGGTAATTAAGGCAGTTCTGTCCAGTCAGCTTATTTCTAATCCTCACCTCTCCCCTTGCCTGCTTCTCATTGGGGCAGACATCATTCAGTGTGCCAGCCCTGCCCTGCTCATGCCTATGCCACCTAGTCTCCTCTCTCAGTCCTCCCTGCCCTGAATGCTCAGTGGAACATGGGACCCTGTCCTCTAACACGGCAATCAGACTTGGGCACCTCACCAAAGTTGGGAGCATCAGAGTCTCAGTCCAGGAATCTGGACTGTGGACAAAGAGACTGTAGTTAGCTGGTGGAATACATGAAATGGGAGGTCATGGAGAGCTGGGCTTGAGGCAATAATTTTCTCCCACGGGCATGTTCAAGCAGAGAACACTGGCAATATTAGATAGGATGCATTTAGGTGCAAGCACAAACTGCTCACCTGACTAGGCCTTGGATGCACAAGGGGTGGCTTTCCTCATGTAACCCAGAAGCCCGGGGGTACATGGTTGCTGGCAGGAGTTAGCAGCCTAGGTTTTCTCTTCTTGGCGTGTTGTCTTTTAGACCTCAGGGTGATTTTCCACCGTCACAAGATGCTGCTGCCCTTCTAAGCATAACCCTGGGGGTCAGAGGAGGGTAAGAAAGGGCAGGACACTATCTCTCCTTTTTATTGGAAAAGCAGGAACTTTTCCTAGAGGCCAAAAGAAACCCCAGATTGCTGCCTTTAACTCAAGGCCAGATTCTAGCCTGCGTCACTGTACCCAGCTCTAATAGAGGGCAGCAAAGACGAAGACGGACAGTCCCGTAACAAGGCTTGCCACCGAATCACCAGGGATGAAGAGACAAGACACAGTGAGGTACGAGGGAGGCTGAGAGGAGTACTGGTCCTGTTTTCCCAGGTCCTCGTACCAGTCCCTGTGAGGCCAGGCTGTACTTTCTGTGTTGGACTTCCATGAGCTATCCCCATATCCTTCTAATAAATCCCTCCCATACCTTAAGTGGGCTTTTGTGAATGCCTGTGTCTGGCAACTGGATGATCTCTAGGATACTTTTTCTACTCTGAACAAGCTATTCTACATTCTCTAACTTGACACTCTCCACTGTCCCACCTGAGCTGACGTCAGAGCTTCCCATCACAACACAACAACTTAGCTTGAGGCTTCTTTTTTCTTAAAAGAAGGCTCTTTTTAAAACAGAGGCTTCTTTT